TGGCCGGCTGCGCGGTGGGGCGCATCTCGCCGCGGTGATCGGATCCGCCCAGCAGATGGCGCGGGCTGCAGGCGGCGTGGGCGGCGGCTGGGGTCCGGCTTCGGGCTGCCGGCGGCTGCGCTGGTTTCCTCTCCGTCGCGGGCGTGCGGCGGTGGTGCAGTTCGGCCGATGGCGGTCCGGCTACCTGGTGGTGGTGGCCGGCGGTGCGCGTGGTGGTGGTGCTTCCACTTGGCGGCTCTCTATACGGGGAGACAGGGGAGCGGCTTGGACAGGGGTGGCGGCATCGACGGCGTGCCGGCTGCAGCGTGAAGGCGGGAACTTTATGGGCCTCGGAGATCCCAGCCGGGCCTGTGCGGCCACGGGCCTGGTATGTTCCTGCTATTGCGTCCGGTCAGCTACCGTCTTCGACGGTGGAGGTGGGGCCCTCCCGCATGCCGACGGTGCTTCTGCCCTAGTCCCGGCTCCTCTTCTTCTTTGTATGGACCATGCTTCACGGTGCCGTGGTGAGACGGCGTGGGAAGCTTCGTGACCGGGTTGGCGCAGGGTGAGGTCTATTTGGTGGCGAGCTCTGGAGTGCCTAAGGTGAAGGTTGGGATCGGGAGAAATTCCTGTTGGCTTGGCCTCACCGACGCGGTGGCGCTTGTGGGTACCGCCTGACCTTCCTCGAGGGCGTCGGCGCTACCCTTCCTCTCTCCTCACAGCATACCGGGGGAAACCCTTGGCAGCAGCGTTGTCATCGTCGCGTCCCTTCTTGGAGGTGCTGATTGGTACCGGTGCTCCAGAGGCTCGGAGCTTGGTGGGCGTTCTTCGGTGGGTGCAGCGGCCACGAGGCTTCTTCGGTTTTTTGTCAATCCGCCGTTGTTGGCGTTCTTTTCTCTTGTATTTCCTCTTCTTTTTTTTTGGGCGTGACTGTGCTGCTTCTGCCCCAGCACCTATCGTTGGATGTATCGGTTGGTTGCTTTGTATAGAAAGCGGGGAACCCTTTTTCGGTAATAGTTTACATGTGCAAGAGAAAAACAGCAGCACACGGTCTGTAGCAATATCAAGGTCACGCTTAGTATGTAATTAGGTTTAGCAATTCAGATTGTTAATAGCCAAACATCACAAAAATGGGAAATATAATTACTCAAATAATATCACTTAACACGGAGATCCCCACAAGGAATCATTGGCCATAGAGATTTCTCACAAGAAGTCCAACACAAATTACCTGTTGCAATTGGCACAAGACCAACAAGTCTAGCTTATCGAGCAGAAGGACCATTGTCCATTGTTGGCACCCTCCCAAAATTATGCTCAATCTCAAATCCGGTGCTGCTCTGGCTCACATTCGTGGACTGGTTAGTAGGATAAGCATCATATCTCAAGTTCTGGTCATTGCTATATATGCCAGTGTAGAAGCTGGTGTTGGCATCGCCACCGGCGTGGTCCTCCTCTAGTTTGAGGCACTCCTGTAGCTGCAACACAACATCAGTCATGTTGGGACGCCGTGATGAAGCCTGTGCAGTGCACTTGAGCGCAATGTCAGCGGCTTTCCACATACTATTGACATCGTGGTCACCGTGCATGCGCACATCCACCACGCCTTCGATGTTGCCCTTTGCTAGCCTTTGTTGCACCCACTCGATGATGCCGATGCTCTGCGGGTTGTGCAGGGTTGGTGGCTTCCCCGTGACAAGCACCAGCAGCACGACACCGAAGCTGTACACATCACTCTTCGTTGTTGGCCGTCCTATTGTTTGGTACCTGTGTAAATGTTTCAGTTCCACCAAATACTCAGACCATGGTATATTATAGGAAGATTTTGGAGAAGGGAGGAAGGAATTAACATACTCTGGATCCATGTATCCTCGTGTACCGACGATAACATTCGTGGACATCTGGGTTTCATTGTCGTGGTTGAAAGCCTTGGACAATCCGAAATCAGCAATCTTGGCCCCGAACCTTGTGTTCAGTAGGATATTTGTGGCCTTCACATCCCTATGAATCAAGGGTGGGTTGCACCCCTTGTGCAGGTATTCCAGCCCTGCATACACACAAGTCAAGATTATGAAAACAAACATTTAGGATAAGCAGTTGGCAACTATGCATTTAAGCACTTACCTTGTGCAGATTCAACTGCAATTTTGAGTCTTTGTTGCCAGCTTAAACAAATTGCATTGTTGTCTCCTCCTGTATACAAATCGTCATTGTGGATTTAATACTAAGATGTCATTTGAGCAATTCTATACATGAATAGCAGTTAAATTATATCAGTTCAAAGTGCTCAAGTTATGTAGGTCACAACAATTTATTTAGATGAATATCAATTACATTATATCAACATGAAGTGCTAAAATTATGGCCCACCAATCACCTTACAGTGTGCTCTTGTGGAGTTAAAAAAACATGCGTACCTACAATGTGCTCTTGCAAAGTTCCCCTCGACATGAACTCGTAGACAAGTGCCATGTGCTCACCATCCTTGCAGAAACCAATCAAGGAGACAAGATTCTTGTGATGAATCCGTGTTAAAATCTGAACCTAAACAAGCAATGATCGGTGATCAGGACATGACTTCACAAATATCATTTCACCGTATGAATTTATATTGATAACCTTATTTAAATGAAAATTTTAGAGGAAACTATTGTAGGCCTACCTTGAAATTCTACATGTACATCAGGAGTTTGGATTAAAAGGGATTTTGAAACAAAATTGATTAAAAGGACAAGGAGAAACGTGAGTGCATTTACATAAACTGTACCTCGGCTAGGAATTCCTTGTCACCTTGATTGGAAGATTGAGATCGTATCTTTACAGCCACTTGAGTGCCATCCTCCAAGAAGCCGTCATAGACATAACCGAACCCCCCCTTGCCCAATACATGGCGAAGGTTGTTTGTTATCCTCTCAATCTCTATGTATGTGAATTGACGAGTCTCAAGTCCAAGTGAAGTGTCCCCATCATTTGTTGTTTCATTTTGTGGTTTAACGGAGTTTTTCATTGATCCTTTTGGTACAAGACAAGTATAATGATTTAAATTAGCAGTGTCCGATGTGTGGAAACATACTGGATAATTGATGTTCTCATGCTAAAGCCTCACCTCGTTTTTTCCATCTCAGCAAGGAAAAGAGTGTTAGCGCCACTACTACTATCACCATGGTGACAGCTATAGGGACAACAAAGTTGATGGCTCGCTTGCTCTTTATCTTAGCAGGCTGACATGAGTTATTGTTGGTGCAGAGGTTCGAGTTGTTGCCATATCTGCCAAAAATATTAACAAACTGTAATCAAATTTATCAAAGCATCATGTAAGATGGAATCGAGAGAATTTATGGGTAAACTGACGACCTCAGATTTAGGGAGCCATCTTGAATTCGTTTGAGAAATCCAGAGGGAATTGATCCACTGAGTTGATTGCCCGACAAATCTCTGAAGAAGAAAAATACTATTTGCATGAGTCAGAGCTATTTAAGGAAAAAATCACAATTGGATAGTAGGTGCAGCCTTACAAAAACTTCAACAAGGGTAACTGCGAAAGGGCATCTGGAATTGTGCCCGTCAAGTTGTTGTTTGACAGATCCCTACAACATGCAAAATATGGACTAGTTTTATTGTTGTTTATGCACTATATTTTGTCTCTTTAAACTACCAAATAAAGACCAAAACAGATCCAGAACTTTGAACATACAAGTATTGGAGAGCCTTGAGATTCGTGAAAGAAGACGATATATCACCATTCAGACCACTGAAAGACAGGTTTCTACACAGAGCAAATACATATTGGATCAGCTTAACTGGATGTAACCTTATGTATATGATAATTCCTGCTTTTGTCATACAAACATAGGCGATAAGTCGCTATAATTTATAGATTTGAAAAACTCACACGCTTACGATCCTTGGAGTTTTGGCAATTGTGTAACTGCACATCAACCTTTCCCATGCTATAGTCTTGGGAATGCATGGGTCACCCATCCAGTTCTTCTGCACATGATACTTGTCCTTGATCGCCATGGTGGCCGACACTGAAGTAATTAATCGAGTAAATTCAAGTTTTTACCCCTACTTTGGTATTTGTGACACTAATTACCACATTTAATAGTTTTTCATCCATATTACCCAATTTAGTGAAAGTTTCTCTAGCGGTTCTTTTGCCGAAAAAGTGTCCTGGAGCTATGTCTAGTACTCCCTCTGTCCCATATTAGTTGTCGCTGAAATGGATGTATCTAGATGTATTTCAGTGTCAGATACATCCGTTTGAGCGACAACTAATATGGTATGGAAGGAGTATGATGCAATACCTGGAAACAAATCTGATAAAGGGGAATGAGCTGGAACCAATGATCACGTAGTTGTGTGACGTGAAGGAGGCGCCTATGTATGCCTCGCGATCATGAAAACAAAATTGTGTCCGGCTAAGCCACTGAATAACACTAGAAGGAAAATTTGTGACATGGCATGCCACATGTACCTCACGACAGAGACATGCATGATAGATCGCTAAATGGGGTAAAAACCGACAAGACATTTTGCTAAATGGGGGTAAAACCTGGCAAATGTCTTGCTAAATGAGGTAATCTGGACAAAAAACTGTTAAATGGAGTAATATGTGTCAAAAATGTAAAAGGGGTAAAAACTGAAACTAATCTCACCCATTTTTTTCAGTACCACACATGATGTGCGTAATTAGTGGCTTAAAGATCAGCTAAGCTCGCGTACATGTGTCAATGTGGTTCCATAATCTATGTATATGTACGTACCGTCCTGGGAGTCCGTGCCGAGGATGGAGGTGGACATGACGGAGAACAGCTCGATGGCGTTGATGATCGGTGGCAGCGTCGAGTTAGTGGTGGCGAGCAAAGAGATATTGAATTTGTCGTATCGGAAGGGCTTTACATTGGAGAGGACACCGGTGCCGTGGTAGTACAGCTTAGCAGCGGTCATGTTTAACTTCACGCCGTTGATGCTGACGTAGAACTGGCGCACGGCGCTGCTGGGGAGGATCTGCAGCTCCGAGACGTGCATGACGATGAAGTACCCCGGCGATGGGTTGCGAGGCTGAGGCACGGGGTCCCAGGAGATATCGAGGTTCTTCTTGGAGGCGTTCAGCGGCGTGACTGCAGTCTGCATCACCGCCGACGGCACCTCGTAGTCGTCGTCGTCGCTCTGCACCTGCCTTGTCGTTGATATCTCTGTCCACTCTTTCGGGTCGGCCCAAGGGATCCATACTCGGTCGTACGGGTCTACGGGGTACCTGATAATCAATCGCATTTGTGACCGCCCAGTACTTCAATTGGTGTACTTTGGAGTGGTAAACTAGGGAAAGAGACGGAGAAAATTAAACAACTCGGGATGTTTTGTAGTTTTGCTCACCTGATGATGTTGGTCTCGCCCGCGTTCAGCCTGTGTTCTACGAGGAGACCCTGCGTCAAGTTCGCCTGCGGGTAGAACTTCATCTTCAGCGGCCTCAGCTCCAGCGCGGAGACGAACGGCGTGCCGGCACCGGTGTTCACCAGGCATACCTGCACGAAGTCGTCCGGCACGACCACGATTGCCTCCGCCGTCACCTCGAGCGTCGAGACGTTGACGGTCTGCCAGTAGTTGACGCCGAGATGGAGGTCGAAGATAGGCGACCTGGCAAGGCCGTCGTAGTCGCCATAGAAGAACGCCGCGCGGACGAGGTACTTGCGACCGGACACCAAGGATCGGAGGGTGTAGCAGTTGCGTGCGCCGTCGGGGAAGCTGCGCACATTGTGGTAGCGCCGAGAGAGCTGCGGCAGGATGAACTTGGCCGAGATGTTGTGGTTGGCGCCGGCGGCGTCGTTGGTGAAGCCGGCGTCCGAGACGTATGGCAGCTTTGTTCCGGCGTCCATGTAGCCCGCCGTGCCCGGCAGCCCGCAGTCTATACTTATGAATCCTGCAATGTTGCAAGGTACGTATATACGTAAGTACATGAAGCCGTTAATGGCGCGCCCGCGGCCGTTGTAGTGCCAAGATTAAGGGGGCGCGATCTTCCATGAGGTTTTGAGAGCATACCTTTGCTCTCAAGCTGTGCTCGAGCTTGGGGTACGCCACCGGTGGCAACGGCGGCGAGGCACAGGAGCAGCAGCCATGAACTTGCCGCCGTTGGTTGCTCCATAGCACGTGCAAGAGCAGTTAGTAGTGGAGCGTAATATGCATTTGACTTTACGCGTTCAATGTCAGTGTATATACGCCCAGACTTAAACTATACCTAGGATTCTAGATTGAGGGGTAGCAAAGCCAACTCTGAGCGAGCTTAATGATGAGCTGATCACGTCAACACCACCATGATTAACCGCGTCAGCTGCACACATCTCTATGTCCCGCACACAACCTGCATGATTCCGTACGTCTGGGTTCTGGCGAAGCAAGAGGAAGTTTGCATGGTAGACCTACAGATTTCTTACCGACTAGTGGATTTTTTTTCCTGAGACTGGCATGTGGGTCCTGCATGTCATAATGCTCAACTTAACGGTCAATCTAATAGAGTTGACTACTATGCCACGTCAGTCCTGACAGGTGGGCCAGTCCTGTCATAATCACGACCAAATTTGGCTGAACCGGTAACCAGTGGGAAGTGGAAACTGGTAGTGTTAACATATTACCCTCAGTGGTAGGCATCAATCAAACATAATGTAATACAGTAGCTTTTTGGAACCCTAACCCAAATTGCGGTGGTTTTTTGTACGTAGTTACTTTCTAAAATTTCATTATCTCGCCCTATTGTAGGGATCACGTGGGTCGAGAGTTGATTTGCTTTCCGACTGGTCAATGTGGATTGGATCGTCCATGGTTTGAGCAGCCAGACAAAATGAAATAGGAGAAGGGTTTTTTTTAATGAAATGAAATAGGAGAAGAGTCGGAAAACAAAAGCTTGCACGCCATGTTGGAGTGAAATGACATTTCACAGCTGCGCTGGGCGGGGCTTGCATAGGGTATCAAGTTCTTCTTTCTTTTTTGAGTGGATGTTGACATCAGTTGACTTACCAAACGGTGTAAGGCATCTGCTCAAAGCTAGCTTATGAATCTACTCAGTCATCATAGGTGTGTAAGTAGTTTGCATTACAAGAACAATACTGCTCATCTACATCTAAGCTCTGATGCTATGATTCAAATTAAGGACTCCCCTCCAATTAGTGGATTATCATCCTTGCATCCCTTATCTTCAGCCATCTTGCAGCAGAAAGATTTTTCTACAAAATGAACCAGTTGCTGGAATTAAAATATCCATCCAACACTCTGATATTTGTAAGCAATATCCATCCAACACTCTGATACTTGTAAGAAATATCCATCCAACACTTTGATATTCAAAATGAATCGGTTGATAACTGAGAGCACAAATATTTGCAGGCTATATGCAAGTAGACATCTTTAATTTATATTGTCCATATAACTAACATTGCCATGTTATAACTAAATTCAAACTTAGTGATATGATCCAAAAATGATATGTTACTCAACTATTTCCCAACAGGATTTTTCAACCCTTACACAAGACTCAAGGACTGAGTTGTGTGTAAACTGATGGAAACATGTACCTGATCACAAGCACAATGATTGCTGAAGCAGCTCCTTCCGATCACAGTCGAAATGATCACCCAACCCATTCAATGTGGGATCTTAGAAAATTGAAGTGATCATTGCTCATGCTGGTAATCATAACATAACAGGAAGACTGCAAGGCAGTAGTACTATATATTACCAACTATAAATCACAATCTCATGTCCCCAAGGCCTGAAGCTTATATGAATGCTGAATGGAGCATCATGAGATAAGAATCACCCTACTCCAAACAGATAAATCGTAGCATCTGCTTCAGTAGCGCCTAATCAACATACTTGTCACTCGATTGGCTCTGCGCTCAGCTGCAGCGTGGGCAGAAAAGCCATGGCCTCGCCGTCAATGGCGAGAGTCTCCTCACCGTCCGTGAAGCACTTGGTGGCGAACTTGACGCTGCCAAACAGATATTACTATTAGTGTTCAGCAAGCACAAGGCTAGAAAGAAGAAACAGTCCAAGGGGTGCTAGGTAGAGTACATGTGCCTTGCGCCGGCGGCCTTGATTTGGAGCGCCTGCACCTGCGCGACCACCTCGTCTCCGACGTACACCGGCGCCGCGAACTTGAGCGACTGGCTCGCGTACACGGCTACAGGCTGCATCAACGCGAAGAAGCACCTGTCAGATCAGGCTGGATCCCATCGACCCTTCGTGCCCACCTGCTGTTCGACGAAATGCTAAAGAAAGGGATGGAGCGTACGAAGTGGGAGGCGATGAGGGCGGGGAAGAGGGAGGCGACGAGCATGCCGTGCACCACGCGGCCGCGCTGGAACCCGCCCGCCCCGCGGGCGAAGACGTCGTCCAGGTGGACGGGGTTGCGGTCGCCGCTCACCCCCGCGTACGCCGCCACGTCGTCCTCCGTGAACCGCCGCCGGCGCGAGCGCAGCGCGTCGCCCGCCTTCAGCGCCGCCGCTGGGTCGGCGGTGGCCGCCGTCGCCGCCGTGCGGACGAGCAGAGGGGCCGCGCGGGCGAGGCGCGCGAGACGCATCCCGGCAGTTTCCTTTCCGGGGGCGAAGGACACGAGCTGCACAGTAGAACCCTCAAACCCTTTTCAAAAAGAAAAACTTCAAACCCTTAAAGCAGTTTTAAGGGATTTTTTTTTAGCATCACTACAGACACAAGCGCTCATATACATGCGCATACACTCACCCCTATGAACACACACCCTACCCCTATGAGCACCTCCGAAAGACTGAGCTAGCATATCATCTTGAGATTTACGAAGCCACCGTAGGCGCCCCGTCGTCGACGGGAACGTCTCCTCCCACTGAAAGCGTATCGCCGGAAATCCTGAAATAAATCCAGGAATAATGCGAGCACCAGAATTTGAACTCTATTGAGTTGGGGATACCACTGTCCACCTAACCATCTCAACCACAGGTTGGTTCGCAATTTTAAGGGTTAAGAAGTGACAGTTTTTGGCACTTTTAAGGGTTGAAAAACAGGGGCAAAGACTAGAACCCTCAAACCCAAGGGTTCTAGTCTTTGCCTCAACCCCAACCTTTAAATCTATCATTTGACATCTCACAATTTATGACTATAAGAACACAATCAACCTCTAAACAAACTACCAAATGACAATCATTGATGCATGGTTTAATAGTTAACATCACAAAATCATCATCTTCCCCCTCTCATCGGCACCATCACCAAAAAATTGCACCTCAGCGCCATCTCCTAGACCACATGCGGGCTCCATCAAGCATCTCCATAGGCGTCGGTGGAGTCGTCCACACCGCCATCGCCACAACTACTTATCAGAGTGTCACCTCGAAAAGTAGAGGACGCACCACGGAACATCCTCTTCCTCTCCGCGATGTCCTCCTTGTAGTCCTTCCACCATTGCAATTGGTCTTCATCCATGTCCTTCTTGGACATCATCGTGTGCTCCTTCTCTTCCACCATGAGTTCTTTCCATACCTTTGCCTCTTTGAGCTCTCCTCCAAGTCGGACTTGCGCTTTGCTTCTTCACGCTTTGCTTCAACTTGTGCAATCTTGACCTCTTTCTTCTTCTCGGTGATAAGAAGCTTCGTCTCCAATGTCTTCGTTGTCAATTCCTCTCTTGCCTTCATCATGTGATCCATCTTCTCCCTTAGGCTTGACGCCTCTCCTTCCATCTTCACCCTTAGCTTTCCCTTCTTGGTTCCCTCGGGCTTGCCCAAGTTCCTCTCCTCCGCATCTTCACTATCATCCATCCTAAGCATTGCCGACTTCTTGGGTGCGGTCTCTTGATCCCTCAACTTCCACTTGTCAAAGGTTTGAAGAATTGCCCAAGCATTGCTTAAATGGGAATGGCTTGCCCTTGGAAGCGGCCATCTCCTTGTACCTCATGCTGGCAATTGTCTCCTATCAACCACACATAATCACATAAGAACCCACCAATAGCATAGTACACACACATAATCAAAATAGTGAAGAGATATGTACTCACATAGTCACTCTCCACGGTTCCACTAGGTGGTGCATCCCTCACTTGGTCCATGGCCGCACTCCAATGAGCACAAGCGGGCTTCATCAACTCCCACCGGCCTTGAAGCGACCGGTAAGTGCGAGAGATGAACCCACTATTCTTTGGCTTGATCCTACAATAGTTGTCCTCGATCCTTTGCCAATACCGTTTACCGGTTTGATCGGTGCCGGTGCTTGCATCCATCCCCATAGCTGCCCAAGCACGAACCAAGACGATATCTTCCGCCTCAGTGTAGTTTGTCGACCGCGCGTGTGGGGCGGGAAGAGGCGGTGAATGCCTCCTCCCCTATCTCGGCCACCTCCTCCTCGTCATCCCCTTCATCCTCCTCATCTTCCTCCAAGTCGTCACCAACCCTAAAGGGTTCTAGAGGCGGAGCCCCGAGGTCCACCTCTGCGTCTTGGAGGAGGTCCATGAACGAGGATGGGGTTGCCATTTCCTCGAACACCTCGTGCGCGGCGGGAGGAGGTTCGGCGACGGCGGCGGGCGGGGCCACGGGCTTCTTCCGTGGCTTCTTCACGGCCAGGGACGAGCCGGCGACCTTGGAGGAAGCCCCTCGCGGCCCACGGGAGGCCGCCTTCGGCTGACTCTTCTTGGGGGTGGGCGTCGAGGCGGGGACGGGGGCCGGGGCAGGAGCCGGGGAGGCGGGAGGAGGCGGTGCGAGGCCCGCCCGTTGCCGCTTGGCCCCGACGTGGGTCGCCGCCACCACGTCAGCCACGATCGGGTGCCGGGCGGGTGCGGGTGCGGGGGCAGGGGCGGGGCCCGAGTCGGGCGGGGCGGGCGCGGCGACGGGCATGGCAGGCGCGGTGGCGGGCGGGGGCGCGGCGGCGGCGAAGGCCTCCATGGACAACGCGGGGCGAGGCGGCGGGAGGAGCCGGGGAGGCGGGGATGAAATTTCCCTCCCGTGCGAGAGGAAAGAGGAGTGCAGGTTGGGGGGAGTTTTTCCTCCCAACCCTCGCTTCTACAGGTTGGGAAACAGTTTGAGGGTTGGACCTCTAAATTTTTTTATGGGTTTGAGAATTTAGAGGTTCTAGTCTACGGCTTTTTTCGGTGAAAACTGTAAAAAAAACAGTTATTTTTGGGGTTTGAGG